ACCAGTGGCTCCCACATGCACTGGGCCGGTGCTGATTGGAGGACCGAAGGGGTCACAAGGGAAATGAAAACCAATATCTGACAGCGCAAATGCTTCCCTCAGAGCCCAAATTTGAATCAAAGAACAATTAAATTCAACCATTAATGGCATCAGTGAGGAAGAAACTAGTATTGCACAAGTATGTTTTTTGGAATAATCTGATTTTTTATTACATCTCTTCGCTGTGATCTCACCAGATGACCTCATTGCCTCTGTCTTCATAATCTGTGCTGTCAAAAAAAGCAAAAAAAAAAAACCCTTCACGTACCAATGACTCAATATTTAACGTTTTCATATGTACCCAGGGCGGAGTGAAAATGTTATGTAAATCCCCTTAACGACCTTTTCAGGGCGCCGACAATCACCATACAAAGGTGACTGGCAGGCGACACCAGTGCACATTTATCCTTTTGCCCCGGCCTGTCTCTGTCTGTAGCGCCCCCTACTGTGAGAGGCGTGGGGTAGGGTGCCCAGTGGCACTTGTTGCCAATGGAAGAAGCCAGCATGGACCCTCTCATGGCAACGATGCAGGTCGTTGTAATAATGTTTGGTTTGTTTTCTGCTTCACACTTCCTTTGGGATTTTGCCCGACCTATAATCCAGTACATGAGACGCAGAGGGAGGCATCCCATGCCTGTCCATCCGAGTTCCAGCGCTGCTTTGCCCAAACCGGTTCCTTTGTACGACTCACACAGCAGTCTATTGGTTTCCCCAAGGGCCATTTCATAATGTGCATCTATTATCGCGATTATTATGACCACTGAAGCCCCACAGCACAAAACCCCAAATCCAAAATAAGTTATTTAACCTAATGTGAGGCCTGATGTAACTGAAGGCAACACATCTCTTATGCATAAAAAAGTTTGCGTGCACACACACATTCTTTCTTTCTGTCATACACACACACACACACACACACACACACACACACCAGATCAGCGTTCCCAAGCTCCTTACTGAGCGTTTTTTATCGTTGCTAGGCCTTGTCTCAGAGGGGAGTCAAGCCCCTACTGAGATCCTTACCCACTTCCTACTGCAAAGCCTGTTTTGGCCCTTGGCAGTCTTCTTCCATTCACAAAGTGCAGACAGGCTTTGCTCTAACTCATCAGCCATCAATTTACTTTGATTCAGGCATGACTGACTCGGGGATTTAGGTCATGCCTCACAGGTGAAGATGTAAGTCCATATTTCCATCCCAGTAATTTATCAAAAGCATGTTTTGGGGCGACTTCTTTGCACGTCCCCAGATCTGTACTGTAGCTGTCCCCTGTGAGGCCGCGGCCCCCGGGTGGGGTCCAGTGCTCTGGGGACACATTTAACATGAATAAAGAGGGGATTTTTCTTTTCTTTTCTTTTCTTTTTTCAATAAGAGGAGAGCGCACATGTGTGTCTGAGTGCGCGCCTGCTTGTGCATGTGTGGGAGAAAGTTGATAAGCGTGTACTCAAGCCGTTAAAATTTGTTTGTGTGTTTGTGTGTGTGCTTTCAGGGGGTGCGCGTGTGATATATACACCCCCCTACTGTCCCATTTCTGCTCGTCTGTCCACACATCACAACTGTCAGCATCTAGCGAGATATGAAGACGAGCAGGAGGAAGAAGGAGAGCCCTTCGCATGGATACTACCTGCCTGTGGAGTATGGTGGACTGAGCATCACCTCCAGGATGTGTCCTGTACCTTCGCCTCTCTACATGGTACGTTGCAAAATGCATAATATGATAATATCAACCCAATAAAGTCTGTTTTTTTGTTGTTGTTAAAATCCTCATACAATGACAGAAAGGACAGGTAATGCTCTGCTTCTCTTTTGGATTTAAATTGTTCATCTCAGAAGGAAACAATTCAGAGCTGTCTACAGGTGTTCACAGACTGTACCGGCCTGAAGGCATCACTTTTCAACAAAGGGATTAATCTCAGAGTCCGGATATAGGAGTTGGCTAAGGTGTGCAGCAGAAGATGAAGCACTTATAAAATGTGAATTTAACAGTTTCCATTGCCCTTATCTGTGCTTTCTCACCTCAACACCTGCACCTGTGCTCTGGTTCTGCAAAGAGCAGGATGGGGGTCTGACTTTTGGGGATTTTTTTTTTTTTCCAGGTCTTTGGAGGATAACCAAAGGATGCATGTGGCTGCCTTTGTCTTCTTTAACTGCTCCCTTAAAAGACTGTTTGTCTGAGCTGATGCTGTTTTTTGTATTTTCTGATACTGGTTTAAGTGTGGTGGGTCATACTGGTTCATCTGGTAAAAGGAGAGTCACTCAACAAGAAGCTTAAGAGCACTGATGTTGGGTTTGAGCAGAAGGTTTTGCTTTCGTGAGCTTGTTTTTAAAATGAAGTTTGTAGTCAGGTTTACTATCATGTGTTTTCTTTTTGTTATTATTATTATAAATTGGTTTTAAAATGCTTTTATAAAACCTTAGAGTGAACAATGTACTTGCATCCAACCTCACATGTGTCAGAATTTGTGTTTCAAAGACTCTTGGTTTATGAAAAATGTACTTTTTTTTTTTGTGAAATTGTCACTTAGCTGCATGTTTTCTAAAACCAAAACAATTTGTGTAATACATCTGGCACTATGCTCTGCCTCCCTGTTTGAACAAAGTCCTTTGGGATCAATCAATATCTCCAAAAGAAAAGGAAGACAATGAAAGTATGTGTTTGAAGAGGCTTAGGGGTTTATTACACTAAATTGGCATTTGAAACATGTTTGTGTTTGGCTGCAGCATTGATTGGAAATGTGCTGCATGTTGAGCCAAACCCAAAACACAACAAGAGTCAAATGTGCAAGAATCTGAACAATTGCTTCTAGTAAACACCTTCCAGTCACTTAAAAAAGACAGGAGTCGCTGTGAAAATATGCTGAAAGCGATCTCTCAGGCATTCAGCGGCGCAAAACCACAAATTATGGTTGCAGAGTGAGACGGCATTATGAGCCTTCACTGTGTGGTCCGTCACCCTGCTCCCCTCCTGCTGCCCCCTCTGCTGGGGTTAGCAGGCAATAGTTGACCCCGGTTAAAATTCAACTGTGCCAACAATAACACGGTTAGACTTTTCCTTAATGATCTGGTCGCGGTTCAGGATTAGGGAGAAGCTGCAAAGTTTGAAAACAGGTTCCTCAATAGACTTAAATCAATATAAACTTTACATTTCGACAGACTGGTGGTCATCATGCCTCTGTAGTCGTCTCTAAAGCATCTTGTAGAGTAAAGAGAATGAACACAGAGAGTCATCACTATATGAAAACACTGTAAAATATCATAAAGGAACTCAGTCAAAACAACTTATCTTTTCTAGTTTACTCAATGTAATTATATGAGTTTTCCTGATTTGCAGCCAGTTAATCTTAAAATGTCTCATTTTGATTTTCAGACCACTCAAGACCTCATTTTTTATTTTTATTTTTTTAAATGTTCTAACTATACTTTTTTGTTGTTGTTGTTGTTTTGCTTAAAATGATGAGTCAAATAAATGAAGAGCTAAGAGTTCACTAATCTCATTAAAGGAAGTTCATGAGAAATAGAGCTGACATGTAAACACACTTTCCAGGACGCATCACTAGAAAGTTAAAAACTCTCCAGGGGCTTTTTGTTTGTTGTAGTTTGAGAAGAAAGACATGATGGAAACTTACTGTGTGTCTTTGTTAAATTAAGTTATGCTCGTTCCTTTTCATGATATTTAAAACAATTCTAATCACGACAACATTTGGATTTAGTTACGACACCTGCAGACCGCATCTGTAATCGTCAAGCCAGCTTCACTGATTTTCTTTGTGCTGACTGGTGGCTTCAGATGCTGAGGCTGTCAGTCCTCAGTGTTAAATGAAGAAGAAACTATTAAATCTTAGTAAATGTAAAAGGAAAGCAAGTGAGTGTGTAACCAGCATATGTGAAACTTAATATCTTAAGTTTGCTGAACTTGTTTTCTCAAGTTCAGGTAATTTAACTCAGGTAGTTTTACACTTTCACAGCTCACATGATGATTTTGAACAAATTAATCAACCAAACTGCAGTTAACTTACATTTTCAAAGCAGCAGGGGAAGTTAGATTTGTAATCTGAATAATAATCCCAATTAATTGTGCACAAACCCCACTCAACACTTTTGTTTTTTTATAGGTAATCTATCAATATGACATGAAATGATGTTGTATGCTGCAGTTGAACAGTTTTTCATGACTTTAGGATCTAATTTTCTGATTTTAAGGACCACAGCCACCCAGCACACGGACTTTTCTGCCTGCAATCAGCTGGCTGATGGTAGCAGGAGCCTGACTGCATGCACCAAAAGACTGAAAGACTTTTCAATATAAACTGCTAAAAGAATTGCATTAAATCCATTTCTGTCACACACATTTCATGCATGCAGTAAATATCTACATTCTTATTTTTAGCTCTGGATCCTGCACATGCATATAAACAAATTCATTGTCTACAAATTGTACATTATCTATACACATTCTATCTTGTTTCTATAGTGTTTTTAGTTTATCTAGTGTTGTGAACAGTGAGTTCTTCTTGTCTAAAACATTTCATTGCATAGCTGACCGTGTGTTAACCTGCATATGACACATAAACAAATCTGAATTTGTTCACATCTAAGGACAAGTGCTGGAAATAGGCTAAAATATAACTACATGTGGCAGCAGTGAGTGTTCTGATGCATTTGCAAGTAATTTTTGACCCAGCCTGTGAGTGCATGTGTATAAACAATAATTAATGCTGATAATGGTGGAAGGGTTTGTTTATGTGTGTATTTGTGTTTCTCACAGCCTCTATCTGCGCATGTCAGGATATTTAAGTTATGCTCTTTCATAAATCATTGATTCCCTTTAATGCATGCACAGTAATGAATAATTATAAACTAGTTATGGATGCTGGAAGCTGCAGTTGTTTAGCAACATCCTGATAAATTAAACACTGGAGGCGCTGCAGTTCTCCGCTCGGCCGCAGGGGGCGACTCCTCCCGGCCCACCGAGTTCCTGTGACGTGTCAAGATGTCGCCATTTTCCTGAGGAAGGAAACGCCTTGAAGGAACGAAAACAAATCAACTGAGTAAGTGTGCAAAGAGACTCTAACTAAGCCAGTGTACCGTAGTTTTCACAGTGTGTGGCTGTAGTTGTCTAAAAAGCCGAATGTTTGCGAGCGAGAGCCGTGTTGTGTGTTTGTGGCTGCGGTGCGGACAGTCAGCGGAACAATGTGACTTGTAGCAAAGAGCTAACTAACTGCTAGCTAACTTAGCCGAGTTCATTTGGTGTCGTTTCTATAACATTAAAAATATATTCCTGTTGTTTTGTAACTCGTGGCCACATTCCCACTGCACTCAGTTGGCACGGACGTCAATAATTCAATAAGTAATAACGTTATAATAAACTAGAAATCTGAGCTAGCTAGCTAGCCGGACGACTACTAGCATCGCACTGTAGCAAGCTAACGTTGATGTTTGTTTACGTGGTCGGACAACTTTTAGCTCTGCACCTTGATAGATGTCAGAGCAGCAGTGAACCTACCGGCTTCTAACGTGTTGTCTAACTTAGAAAATGTTGTGCTAGAAAGTTAAAAGCTCTGCATTACTGTCCCTGCACTTCGGACCTAATTATAATCAAGCCAGTTGTTTTCTCTGAGAGGCACAAACAGGGAATAGTTCATCTGAAACCAATATTCAAAATCAATATTTCTGTACAGTTAATGTTTGTTCTGTTCAATTAAGAACAGCAGTAGAGGCTGTGTAAACATAGGATTTGAACTTTTTAATGTTTTCTTGATGCATACATCCTCTCAAAGAAGCTTTTAAAAACCTTAGTTCCAACTTGCTGTGATAGATTTTACTAGTTTATTATCAGACTTGCAGACCAGTTTTCTGTTCAGTGACTCATCATTTCAGCTCTATTGCAAATTAGGTTTATCTGCAGCATGCTTATACTACAACTGATCTGTTTCTCCACAGGTTTTTTGGAGCTCATTCATTTTTTTCCCACCAGGAGTAGGTTCCCATCATCCGCCGCCATGGGGAACGTTATTGCATCGCTCTTTAGCATGTTCGGAAAGAAGGAGATGAGGATACTCATGGTGGGTCTGGACGCTGCTGGAAAGACGACTATTTTGTACAAGCTTAAACTTGGAGAGATCGTGACCACCATTCCCACAATAGGTAAGTCAAGCGTGTTTCATGTCTCACTGAATAGAAACATGTGGTCTCTCCTTATTACTGTGAATTAAAGGTTTGTTCAAAATGTGATTCTTTATTTTCCTCTTAGGTTTTAATGTGGAGACAGTCGAGTACAAGAACATCAGTTTCACAGTGTGGGACGTCGGTGGTCAAGACAAAATTCGACCGCTGTGGCGTCATTACTTCCAGAACACACAGGGTATGTTTGTCTTAGCGCCTGACATTTGCTGGCTTAAAATGTATTACTTTATCAGACACACACTCATTAGCTTTCCTTCTGCTCCGGCTCCAGGTCTCATCTTTGTTGTGGACAGCAACGACAGAGAGCGATGCGGCGAGGCTCGAGAGGAGCTCCTGAGAATGTTGGCAGAGGACGAGCTGAGAGATGCTGTGCTGTTGGTGTTTGCCAACAAACAAGTAAGTCGTGGAAGTCTTTGATGTAAGCAGGTGTACGTCATACCCGCTTCACTGCCAGTTTATTCTGTTGGCCTGCTGTGTTTGCAGGGTAGATTTCTAAAGCTCTCCCACTGTGTGTTTGCAGGACCTTCCAAATGCTATGAATGCAGCAGAACTCACAGACAAAATGAATCTTCACGCCTTACGCAACAGGAAGTGGTACATTCAGGCAACCTGTGCCACCACTGGAAACGGACTCTATGAAGGGCTAGACTGGCTGTCCAGTCAGCTCCAGAAGCATTAACGATCACAGAATTTCTTGAAACTAAGCTGCTCCAACCAGTGCTCTTTACTAATTCATGCTTTCGGCATCCATGTGTGCAGGCCAGTAAGTGGACAGCAGAGACGGCTGTGTTCATACTGCAGTCGGTCTTTGCCGGTCTGCTCAGCAGCTGGTGACTGATGACGCTGTAGCAGCATATCAGTCATTATCCCTGAGGTGTGCTTGGCTCAGGGTGTCAACACAGTGTCGCTTCTCATACCAAACACTTGTTTTAATTTGTCGTGTAGTGTAGACAGTACGGACCTCCACGAAATTGTGTTGATGATGAAATTTCTGTACCCTTTCGGATGCGGACAGCATGAATTGGTCTTAAAGGTGTTGCACCACTGAGCTAACCTGCACTGAAAGCAGCTTTCATCATGACAAACATGCAGGCCAGTGGTTGGGGGGATATTTTCATGTAAAGCAGTTATTTTTTTTTTGTTTTATTGTAACTGTAAATATAATTGGTAACGGGGCAGGTTAATACACTCTTTAAAATCCTACTGTGGTTATTTCTCTTTTATTATTTCTATTTTCTCGGCTGTCGGGCAGCCATGTGTGCACTGAATAAGAAAAAAGGGAGGTGATAAATTTACCAGCACACGTCGGCCCCCCCAGGACCTCAATGCAATCTAATGACTCGTTATTATCTGGTCACACGAACCACGAGGTGTGATCATTCAGGGGCTTCTCATTTTTAAAGAACTGAACTATACACTGATGCACTACTTGCAGCTACTCTTGTTAGTTTTGCCAACGACTTCCTGTACCAGCCCCTCAAACTGCCGTCTAGTTGATCATTTGTACTGACATCAGTCCTGTCGGTGAACACTTACCAGCCTTTGTTGTATGTTGGCCTAAATTGAGAGACATTGCAATGATCTCACGTCTATCTGCTCCTAAGGCAGTGTGTCGAGTGGAATTTTGTACTTTTAGAGTCTCAGGTTAATTGTGTGCTGCCTTTGCAATACTAATTGTTAGGAATAACTGCATGATGTGGTGTGTTGGTCGCTGCACATCGTCAGGCAGCAGAGGAACTGTTATCCCACCGAGTCTTCATTTCTGCAGCCCTAAACTGATCATTTTTCTGTGTACTCTGAGCAGCAACTGTCAGGAGCTGCTTAGTGTCCTCACTAAAGGCTCTACTTGGTCTTTTTGTCATTGTAATGGCAATACAAAATCAGCAGCATCTTTTATACAGTGCCAGCATTTCTTGGTTGTCCTTCGATAAACAGGAGGCCGTACAGCTGCCTTTTTATCCATTACTTACTTCCAAGGGTCGTTTCTAAAAGGTGTGGGTGTGGCTTTGCTTGTTGTGGGTGTATTGAACATTTTTATGATTTATAGATGCCTAAATGTTCTTTTGATGTCTTAAGATGGTTTTCATGTAAAGCCTTTTGCTTTGTGTGGGGAAAAAATTAAGATGTAATTAAAGTGACTGGATGCATAAAAGTCTCTTGATGTTCGTTTTGTTTCACACTATGCATTAAAATGACTGAAGTTTAAAGTGCATGCTGTGGTTTGTTTTTCATACAAAACATACAGTCGTCCTCACATTTATTCCTACCTTCCCATGAAAGAAGGAAAAAAACAGCTGAAATAAGTTAAAATTGACAAACGCAAAAATAAATGCAAATTTTATGAATATCATGACGTTGCTTTTGAATTGTAGTTCAACAGAAATATTTCAAAACA